TTTTTTTTTTTTTTTTTTTTTTTGAGGGCGAGAGAAATGTTTTTGTAGATTAGAAATGAATTAAGAAGAAATGGTTTTTAGTGCGTGGTCGCTGCTTAACTGTAGGAAGTAAACTGGCAAGAAAGAAGAAGGCGTTTACAGTGAACCCAAAGACGATACCGAGTTTTCCAATTCTGACTTTCAGTGTGTTTTGGAGAAGCTAAACTGTTTTTTGTTCTAGGGGTGTAGCAAAACTTCTGTGCAGTTAATTAGGACTAGGATTTTCAAAGTTGGAGGGAGCGAAGTTTTGAGACTGGGATGTACATCTTTTGTATTTTCTGGCATTGACTTATTTTTGACGCATGGGAGAACCTATCTTAATTGGAAGTTTCAAAAAATGCTTGAATGGGGACAACGCAAAAAGCGAGATTTTCTTCAGAAGAAAATCTCGCTTTTTGCGTTGTGAAGATAAAGTGCTCTACAGTGATTGACATAATTTGGTTGTTGCATATTTAAAAAGAAAATTTTGTGGTAGTTCTTGTCCTTCGTCGATTTCTTCGACATTCCGGAAACTAAATAAGAGAAAATTGGAAAGCAGCTTACTTTTTTAGGGCTGATAAAATGGCTAGATTTTTGAAGTGTAAACTGATGTGATACAACCGAGTTTTTATAGTAAGGATTCATATTGCAATTTTCTAACTTTGTCAAGTACAAGTCAGCAGGATTAGAACTCGATAAAGGATTTACTTGAGACGAATTACAGCGAGTTATTACAGATGAATTAAATAGTCATAAACAAGACAATCAAAGATTGCTAAAGCTTTTAAGCGAAAAAAATTAGCTTAATATTTTAACGCTGATGGCTCCCACTTCAAATGAAGATCCATCGCTTCTTAAACTAGGGTACGTTTGGGCTTTGACAACTGAAAATCATATGGTGGTTGTTCTATTGAATTCTTTAAGTTTATTTTGTGGAATTTTCTGCATAACTGTTTGCTGGTTAAAAAAATTTGATAATTAGCAGGGCTTATGACATTTAGCGTTATAAATATAATTTATATATATATATATAATG